AACTTACTTTTCTTTATTTGAAGCGTTAAGAACCTCAACATTACTATTTTCCATACCAACAGCCACCCATTCCTCAGTAGGACAACAACCAAGCGAAAATATTTGGGATTGGAAATCATACTGCTGCAACTGCTTACGTTCACGCAAATCCCACGAACGTACTGTATTGTCAAGACCACCACTCCATAAACGAAAATTGTCGCTAGATAAATCCACACAACTTGCGCCATCTTGATGACCAGGCAGGTAAGCAAGCTTAAGCAAATTAGTTTAAAAATCCCGTTAGAAGTTAATTAAACCCTGAACCAGGTAAAAAATCTAACACTAAAAACGAGAGAGTTATAAATGATGCTTTTATAAATAGAAACTTAAAGAACTTTCACAGCGTTTTTGAAAAAAATTTGACCAAGCAACAAAGACAGGGGAATAGGAGTCTAACAAGCGATAGTATAAACACTATAAAAACAAATGTCTTGAACAAAACATATCTTCACATTCAGAAAAGCGGAAGGCAAAAACAAAAATCACCATTTTTTTCGAATCGTTCAAATCCCATATTATAATTTTCCCATCAGCAGAACATGAAAATAAAAGCTTGTTATCAGCAGAAAGCGCCAACGCGTAGCATGCTTGGGCTTCGCTGTCCAGTTCAACTTTGATTTTCTCTGTCTGGAAAAATTATGTGCAAATTCTAAAATATGACAAGGCCCTCAAGAAATAACTTTTAAAACACGTCGCTATATCGTTTTGCAAAAACTGAACAAATGCATAAAATAAACTCAAGTTAAATTACGAAAAAACTTACGGCAAGATCAAAAACCGCTATCGTAGAGGCCTCGCCACCAACAATCAATGTATTTCCATCTTTCAACAACTTCACAGAGCGAATATAATTGTCTTTCAAACATTCTAGTGTTGATATTGCAGTTTTTGGCCCTTCCAAGTTGGTAATATCCCAAACCTTAAATAAACGTAAATAACACTAGCAACTAAACTTATGACTCCATTACTATTAACCTCATAAAATGATGCGCAAAACTGCGCCAAACTCACCTTCACACAACCCTTACCGCCAGTATACACATATCGATTTTGTTGCGATATTGTCACGGCACAAACAACTTCGCCATGTAATAACTCATGTTTCTAGAAGCAAAGTTAATTTTACCAATAGTGTGCACGAAAATACAAAATCAGCCGCAATTATCATAAACAAAAGCCACACAACCTTCCGTTTGATGTCGAAAAGCACTAAAATGATCCTCAATAGCGAAAAAAATATTTCAGATCTGTATTTCAGATCTGTCCAAGAAAAAATTCCTCACTTAGACACAAGCACTGAAAAAACACTGATCCCGACAAGTCAACCAGACTCTCCTCAGCTAAACCATTAACTAAAAGAAGAAAAAAAAAAGAACGAAGACAATCCATACTGCTAGATAAGAAGCTCTAGAATCCACTGAGACGCTAATAAAGTTAAACCAAAATTTTTTTTAACCCAAAAAATTAAGCATCAAATAAAGTCACATTCGCTGATATCCATAAAAACTGAAAAAAACTTTGTGATTGATGTAGACGACTTCTTACGCAAAAGTATTACTAATTAAACCGCCTTACGACAATATCAAGAAGTTCAAAAACCTAAAACCCACTACAGCCCGAGCACGATCAATTCATAATATAATTATCCGAATAGAAAGACAAAATACCTTGACTAAATTCCGCGGAATACCAGGACCGGCAGTTGCATCAGCGGGAAAACTTACAGGTTGCATCCGCCCTGCCTCATCAGTTTTAAAAGAATAGGCAGGCTTCCCATTAGTCATAGCAGTAGCCTGGCTCATATTCACCATCAAACGAGCCTGCGCATGAGGATCCATCATTGGTGGAACTGCACCTAAAGCAGAACGCCCAGGGAAAGAAGCCAAACCAGGGGCTGCTAGCAGCTGATTGGCCATCGCGTTCATATCAGCGGTAGCGCAGGTCGCACCTAGCCTCGCCTTACCAGGTGTTGAATCTCCAGATGAAATCTACAAAATATATACTGAGACAAGCCGCTTAAAACCAAAACGACAAAAAAACGTTTTAAGAGAAATCCAAATTCAATCCAAAAATTTTCAACAAGAAACGCTAACTCATTTACGCGTAATTCTCTTTAAAAACTTCCTTTTTCTACACAATAAAACTTAACCAAACGTTAGCCTAAAAAACCATCACGCCATTTTTGGCAGTACCAGTATAAGAAAAACGATTAGTCTAAAACAAAAAAAAAAACGATAAAAGTTGCTGAAAAAGACAGCAAGAAGAATACATTATTATAGGAGAAAACAGGAGTTATTGAGCAAATTATTCAGAAATACACTCAAAATTTTCAATTTAATTCTTAGTGACGCGCTCAGAAGACACTTGTATTTCATAATTTACTATTCACTTCGCCTCGCAAGCTAAAAAGAAAAGTAAACTCACAGAATGCGCGCTATCCCTCCCATCTTTTTTCAAATTGATACCATTAATCGCAGAAGAGTCATCGTTTTGAACATCAATTTCTAATTCACCATCCCCGTCTTCTGAACCGACCTAAAATATGACTGTCTTCAAACTCTGCTCGATAAGCTTGAATGCTCAGATTGGAAAAGAATAAGTTGAAGTTTTCAAAGTAAACTTTAATTGTTTCATTAAACGATTACTTTTGGCCTTTTGCTGGCTGCCTGACTTGTTTCAGGTGTATTTGATCGAGGTCTTGATGCACGACTTGCGTTCCTTTCCTCAGGTTTCTCTTCTGCCTTTACCATCCCAGCCGCAGCAGCTGCTGCCAGCCCTGCCATGGGATGGAAAGGTGCAGCCTGGGCAGCGGCAAGACTCATTGGTGCAGCCATCGTCATACCAGGCAACATAGCAAACTGCTGCTGATGCATCTGATTTGCAATAGCCTATATTAACGGCCAAAAATACAAAAACAACCTGCTAAACGACGTCAACTGCCTAATAACACGTTTTCAACAGTCACTGAATGTCTAACTACTCCTCATCTTTCATTCAAATAAATAAAATTAAGTTATGAAATACTGTATAAAACTATTTTGAAGCAATATATCTGCGAATAAAAGAAAAATGTAATTGATAAAAGACAAAAAAAGAGAAAAAATTATTTTCTCCTCAGACCCCTACTGATACAGAAAAAACTAACCGCATGAAGCTCAGTAACACTTATTTGCCTCGCTCTTTCTACAGCAGCAATCGCAGGTTGTTGGTGTTCAGCTGGTAAAAGAGGAATAATCTGTTGCAGAATCTGATTGTACCTTTTGGCGATCTCCGTTTGCTTGTGCATTTCAAGATTAAGACCGTAGCTCATTTCATAGTACATCATATAATGCCTTTGCATAACCTCCTTTTCTTGAGATAATTTATCTATGTCGACACGTTGCTGTTGCAGCTGATTTTGTAAAAAATTGTATTCTTCCTTGCACCGCTCCAAATGCTCTAAGAAAGTTAACTTCATTGGTTGGTGAGGAGCTCCCTGAAATAAGATCAATCAACCTCAGCTGTAATCTTCAAAGAGTTTCTTAGCCAAACATATTTTGCAATATGCAAAAAAGGGAAATTGGTTAGATGGATGACGTCTCAACTTTTAACAGCTGATGTTGCCCTGGTCTAACAAGCTTCAAACAAAGTCAGATTTACCTGATTTTGCAAGCTAAAATCAGAGATGGAGAATCAGTTATTAACGTTTTCTACCCAACACTCTCTTTAAGTTATATCATTATTAACATTTCTGCCCCACACTCTCTTTAATTTATTTCACCTTAACTGAAGTTTCAAATTTTTAACCGCCTACGTAAAAAAAAATATGAGCAACTCTACAAATGGGCAATAAAACTAAAAATAAGCATCGGATAAGGAAAAGAACCAAAACTGTTGAAGCACATACACTAACTGGATGCCGATGATTTGGATTAAACATCGCAACTAAGTTGCAACTACTTCCTCGACCACTACGACTCTTCACCTCTTTTCCTTAATGATCAAATCAAGCGATATTAAAGCGCAACTAATGCGCGAAATAACAGCTTCCTTCAGCACCAAAAAAAATTAAAGTATGAAACAGGAATACTTAAAATAATCTAATCCACTGCACGTGTATGAACCGAAATAATCATAGGCGGCTTAGGAACTGAAAACGGCACAATGAGTTAACCAATTACGCAAATCATTGCGAATAACAACAAACATATGCAACAATATGCCTAATGTTATTGCGGAATAGATGAATAACCTATCCCTAATTTACAAATCATAATCAACTGTATAAACAAACTTTCTTCAAAAACAAAAAAGTTCAGGCATATCAACAAGTTACAAAACAACACCAAAACATCAAAAAAAAAAAAAAAA